TTGTTTAAATCTTGTTGAAATTGTTGAAATGCTTCTGTCAAAGTTAATAAGGATGTAGAATTAGATGATAGTTTTCTATTATTAATACTTCCAGTATTTATCGAGGATTGATCACTAACTGATCCAGGGAGTGATACTGTATTGGTAGATTTCCAATATGTTTCTACTTGCCCTCCAATTTCAAGTTGTACACCTTGAAATGGTTTCACTACTGCGAATTCAAATGATAATTCTCCAACAACTTTGAGATGTGTGTCGAATAAAGGACAAATACATTTTCCACCCGTCCCTTCGATAACCAAATGATTTCTTCTTTCACGACTGCTGGTAAAATTAAATACGTGTGGTAATGCAACTCCTTTACCAATAACTTTTGATCCAAAAGTAGGAAAGATATCAAATTCTAATGAAAATTTATTAAGGGTATCTGTTTGAAAAGAAAAAACTTCTCTATCATCTCCCAATGGTAATATTATGTTATGAGGAATTATTCCTGTGTCTGGTTTGGAGGACATAATAAGTTTCAATGATGAAATGTGACTGTTTCCATATAGATGTACGGGAGGCCTTTGAGGTTTAGTTGATAGATGCCCAAGTGTTAATTGAATATGATATTTTTTATCCAAGTAACTATGTCCATAGATTCGAAGAGGTATGATTGGAGGTGGTAGCGACAACGAAGGTATCGAATCTATATTAGTTTCTATATTATTATCCATATCAATATCTCCTTCTACATGACCATTTGTGATTATCATATTTGATGGTTCATCTTTTATTTCAGCACGTCCACCGGCTTCGCGTAATTTATTAATGCACTCTATGTGGCCTTCCCATGCTGCATAGTATATGGGTGAATGACCTGATTCGTCTGATATATCTACTTGACAATTTGCTTGAATTAAGATATTGACGCATTCTATGTTTCCTTCACTTGCAGCATAAAAAATAGGTGTCCATCCTTTATATTTATCGGGTGTGTTTAGTAGAGCGCCTCCCTGTTCCGTCAAAATTTTTAACAATTTATGATGTCCTTCACGGGATGTTAAATGTAAAGGGGAAAGACCTTCCGCATCTAATCTAATCTGTGCGCCTTTTTCTAGTAGTAACATGGCAATGTCTTCATGACCATATTCACATGCCAAAGACAAGGGTATATGACTATGGCCATCTTCTCCTTGTGGTTCTATTCGAGCTCCCGCTTTAAGTAAAATTTCTACACATTTTGTATGACCATTTGTGACAGCGTAAATTAAGGGACTAAATACATCATGATCTAAACTTTCAAAATCGGCTTTCTGTGATAAGAGATAGGTAGCAGCATCACTATGTCCGTACATACAAACGTAATGTAAAGGCCTACGACCGTAGACATCGGAACAATCTACTTTAGCACCTTTATCAACACAAAGTGTAATAAGCGGTAATCTCCCAACAATTGCTGCTTCGTGTAAACAAGTTCGGTCACTAATATCGTCAAAATACTTGAAATTAACCATATTAGTATTTACCAAACACTGTATGGAATCAATTGAAGAATTCTTTTCAGAACACACACGCCAAAACACTCGCGACAAGATATCTTTGTCCTCTTCAATTTGATGATGTAGAATTCTTCCTAAAATTTCCTGTACAGTTGATGTAGCATCTTTCATTATTGCCATAAAAAGCTCTGTTTCAAGATCATCCATGACATCAGGTTCAGTTGATTCTCCAACAGATAATCGACGGCCTGGAGAAGTCGATCGAGATGATGGAGTAGTGGTTAAACCTTGGGTGTGATTTTGGAGCTCCAGTAAAATATTATCAACGTTATCTACCATGTAAAACATAAATTCTCTATTGAAGCATGGTTGAATTTCAACCTGACGCGAAAGATAAAGTTCTTTTGTACTAGATTTAGATCGTTTATCCCATTTTTTTAAAATTTTTCTGAAACCGGTAGCGTTTATCTCTACAAATTGCTAAGTTAAATAGGATAAATATAAATAATTTGTGTTTTGTGTGTATATTGAAAGATTTGAAAATAATAGAACGCGAAACTATAAAAAAAAAAAAAATTTTTTCTCAAAAGATTTTTTTTTTCCCGCGAAATTTTATGTAACATACAATAAAATTTTACGTCATATATTAAATATACTAGAACTACTTATTTATCGAATTCCGAATAGAAAATAACGTAAAAAATGTGTCTGGAATTATACGGAATTTCATGCAGAATGATCAGGAGTGTGTACGCAGGAAAAAAAAGGAAAAGAAAAAGAAGAAAATACCATAAATAATTCCATACACATTTATTCGGAATTCGTTAGAACTTCCATGCGGGAAATGCGGGAAAATACGGAAAAATGACTGACATTTTTTTTTTTTTTTTTTGGATTATGAAATTACCTGTAACTTGTTTAAATCTTGTTGAAATTGTTGAAATGCTTCTGTCAAAGTTAATAAGGATGTAGAATTAGATGATAGTTTTCT